TTATTTTTGATTACTTGTGAATTTATTTAGAAATAAAGTGACATAAGTTGAAATCTGAAAAAATAAAGTTGACATGTTGGAGTATGTAGCCGTGTTAGCATGCTGCAAAGGAACAGTTGATGGTTTGTTCCATGCTGAAATGAAAAGTGAACATTTTGGCTGTGGGGCATTCTTTAGGCTTCTTCACACACCTTGTGTCTCTTTTCTTTTCAGCATGGAATAAACTTGACCTATTCCTATGTACTTGATATGTAACATTAAGAAAACAAGTTAAGTGATCTTACCGTATTAATACTTGATTAAATAATACGGCCAGCTACAGTTGTGCTGTATATGTCTGGCCTTTCATTCAGAAACAATGAAAGATGCTGTAGATGCTGAAGGACAGGAAATGAACAGGTGCTTGATCTCCCTCAGCTGCTGCACTACGGGTGTAGCTCAGGTGCAAGCTGGGACATTTCAGCTCCCGTTCTCCTCCCTCTCGCAAGCAGCTGTTGTTCCAATCAAGAAGAGAGGTGACATGAAATCAATTTGACCAGATCTGGTCAGCCTACTTGCCACACTACTTAAAAGAGAGATTGGCAATAAAGAGATGGTAATTTAAAGACTAAATGAAGTATATTTTCTCTTAAGTATAGGGTTAGAATCACAAAACATGTTGGTGAATTTAGTGTATTTCCAACTCTTCTAATTTAAAGACGATTAGGAACATATTTTTACCTAATGTTCTCTTAAAGCAGTGTAATCCGTTTCACACTACCAATAAATATTTTTGACTTTAGAATGAAGAATAGGTGTTAATTGTTTGAAATCTGATGGTGTTTTTGAAAGATTCAACTTTCAAAGCTAGGCATTGCAGAGAAAAGCAGCTAGTATATTAAAGAAATGATTAATTACATTATTTCTTCTACTGAATACACAATAGACAGTCTTAGCCTTAATAGAGCACCCTTTCCTTATTACGCCTCAATAAAACCATTTTGATTTATATTGTACTTTTTACCTTTTTTAAAAGAATATTGAAAACATACTGGCTCGAAATTTGTTTCAACTTGATGTTTACAGCTGGAATTAGAGCAGAAAACATATCATTAAGCAAAATGCCCTCATGTTCTCTGGCACCCTTTAATAATCTGGTCATTGGTCCGGTAGTATGTGATTTCATGAAGGTATGCAGAGACAAATTAGCCTAGCTGTTAAACTGGCTCCAACTCTTTCTGTACCAACTGATGCCTAAAAGTGTCACTGGCTGTCTGCAGGTTCCTAAAATAACCTGTATCAGTTAGCTGGGTTTCCTTGTTGCTAGGGGTTTCCCTAGGTGGGGGGAGGGGTTGGGGGTTGGGGGGATTTCTCCAGATCTTGTGCTATAAATACTGCTGCTCTATATTAAGCAATTTATCATAGACACCAATTCCTCTTTATATTTTTTCTTGTACCTTCCTTCAGTTCTGGAGTTTAGTCATGCCTTTGATAAATGAATGGAATGTAAATGAATATGCTACAGTTATTAAGAACAATTTTATTAATGCATGGTGGCCAGAATCCTCTTTCCAACCTCAGCACTTTTGCACTTCCTGATTTGTGAGTTGGTGTTGAGGTTTATACATGGAGCCAGAGATCCAATTAGAGAGAGTTTTAACAGTAAAAGCAGCATCAATAATAGATACTGCATTCTCTGGTCTTTTTTTTACATAAAAAACAATTACCGTCTTCATTTGTAAATTCATTTATCATGGTTATGTGGCTGCCGGTACAGAAAGCAGGTCAGCTGCTTTATTGAAACTGTGGATATGCTGTAAACAATCTGGTTCTAAAATTGTTTGGTTGTTTTATATGTATTTTAAAAACCAACTCCTTTATTTATTGCTTTAGATTAACTGTTATGATATTCATATAAGGTAAAAATGTGCTGTTACTGAGACTGTTTGCTGGGATTGATTTAGAGTGTTTTAATGTTATTTGTCAACCCACACAGTCTGCAAGTTAATATAACAAGGTTATACCAAGTGTAAGGGCACGTTACTTCAACCTTCATTGGTGTAGTCTCAGGACTGTGTAGTCAGTATAAACAGAGGGATAACAAAGGCATACATTAATGACATTAAATGGCAGATCAGATGGAAAAACATAAAAAGGTAGCTTTAAATGATCTGACAGCCAGAATTGAAAGCCTATAACAATGTGCCTGATTTAATTTATTCTAACATGAAAGAACATGCAGCATCTATGTGCTGCATTTTACTACCCCATGAATATGGGCATATTATGTTCTTCTTTTGCATATTATTGCTTTCACAAAGGATTTCACTGGCATGCTCATATTGTTGGATACATGCGCATGTCTATAGGAACATGTGGGGTGATATGAAAAGCCTTGCTAATATTAGTCTTTTGTGTCCATATGATCTGAGCTGAGGCTCTTCTTTGCTGCAGGGTTCCTCCTGTGTGCTTGTTTGCCCTTTTTATGTGGTTACTCAGTGACTGTAAAAGTTGAAATATTTCATTATTTTCCTGCATACATGTAACCTCAAGACACCCAGAACCCTGTATTTTTTAATCTTTTATGAATCTGTTTATCTTTATTCCTTGATTTGAGTTATTTGAACTGTGTAGTTATATTTTGTCAGCTTTGGGTGAGCTTTGTAGATCTAGATTTTTGGTACAAAAAAGCAGTCAGGCTAATCTTTGTGTTTTGCAGTTTAAACTTGGCTCATGAGCTACTCCGATGCTGCTGTTAACAGTTTATTCAGTTAATTTACCTTTTATAACAAATTGTAAAAGGTTTAATTTATTAAAGAGCATCTACGAAAGCACAACTAATATATTCTCTGTATAAAAGTAATCACATTTGCGAAAAGGTTATATTGAACTTTTGGGACATTAAAACATGCCTTTACACGTGGCTGTTTGTACTTCAGTTTAAAATGGTTTAGAAATTGTTACCAAGTAATTGTACTACTTTTTATTGAAAGTAAAATTCAGTTTGTTCTGTCTGCCTTCTTCTGGAAATCAGTCATTTTGCCCCCGGCTAGGAAATCTTGATTACAAGGAACTTTTTTGTTTACAACCTAAGAACCACACCTAAATCTTTGGTGAATATGTATTAGCATGCTTAGGTTATCATGCCTGGATAGTATGTATAGAAAGTGTTCTTTGTAGGCAAGGTAGGAATTCATTGGATTTGTGCTCAAGAAAATACTTCTCCTTTATTAGAAAACTACTTGTTTACCCAGTGGAACCTCTAGTGGTGCAGAGATGCAATAGCAATGAAAAGTCAATACAGTACTTTCATTTGTAGGCTGAGCTTTCCTCTTCTGTGCCTTGGTAACTCCACACCTGCTGGTTCAGACTTAACTGGACTAATTCATTGCTTAATTGGTACCTATTCAAAGTTGTCATTAATTTAATATTGATCATTTTTACGTGGTTTGGAAAATATAATTAAAAGGAAACCTTGCAACATGAAGAGCTGAAAACAAGTCAATAAATATAAGATCGTTAAACAGTTTTCATTATAGAGCTGAGAACTCTGAAACAAATCTGCATGTGGAGGCCTAGAGGACTGCATTTTCATCAGATATAAATGGTAGATTAAATTCAGTTTTATTGTTGGATTGTTTTATGAGAATATTCTTCATTCTCTCTGTGTATGTAGCTAGGCCATATATTTTTTTAAATGTTTACTGATCACATTGCATTCTTCAATAAACAGACCTTTTCACATTATAGAATCAATATAGAATCACAATATGGTAAGATTTCTTTGCCATTGATCATCACAAAACATTCTATAATGTCAAAGTGAAAACAAAATTTGGCAGATTCTCTTGAGTTATAAATATAAAACAGAAAATAAGTGATTGCATAAGTATTCACCCCCTTTACTATAACACACCTACATCGGCTCTGGTGCAACCAAATATCTTTAAAAGTCACAACATATGTTAAATAGAGTCCATCTGTGTGCAACTAGGGGGTTTCACATGAGTTCAGGGTAAAACTAGGTCATGAAGACAAAGGAACTTTTAAAGTAAATTTGGAATAGGGTATACTTTGTATACTTTCTAAACATACTTCTGAAACATTGTATATCAGTTTTCTTTAATATCATAGCATCCCGTTTGTCAGGCTCCAGCAAGTTTACTGTTCCTACACCTTTGGCCACTCTGATTTCATAGTTTTGTATTTATGTACTGTACCTATATATATTATCTGTTTTTTTTTTTAATATTTCACTGTCAGTTTCATTCTTGCTTGCCTTACAAGGTTTTTTTTTCCCCACTTAAAATCTTGTTACATATCTGTGAATCAGAGCTTTTTTAGCAGACCATTAACTAATTGATTTTATGAATCCCAGTTCTAAATTAATAGCATTTTACAGATAACCCATGCTTTGTCCCTTAAAATTGTTACATTGTCATGTTGTATAACATAATACATAATTTTTGCCACATTTACAAGAGTGGGGCTGAGCGATAAAACAAGATACCAAGATAAAGGCAGCCAACCTTGTGAATGCTACTGCAGCCTTAACACAGCTGGGTCTTTTCTCGAAAAGTCAAGTCATGACAAATGAAACAGTCCTAATAAGATGGCATACAAGACCAGCAGAGGCTACAGTATGTACTTTAGAAAAATGGGGGAGAGGGGTCTAGATATAGAAGAGGAGGAAAGGTCAGGGACACTACAGGCAGCAGGAGGAGCTGGGTGACGCACAGTATGACTGAATACAAATGCAATTTGCTTGAATTGTTGAAAACTGATAATACTAGAAAGGCTATGTTACTTAAGTAGCACATTTAAAAAAATTCTTTAGCTTGCAGATTGCCTGAACAAATTATTCATGCACAGGAGGCCCCTACACATTCTCTAAATGTGATGTGCTTTGTTAAGAGAACTGTAATCACTTACATTCATTTTTAAAAAAAAAAAGGATTTTCAGGTGGTGACAAAAATATACAGAAATCTGCATCAAGGGCCCCCAGCAACAGCTCTGCTACTTGTTGAAGCGCTTAATCATTTGTTCGTTTTTGATTAGTCATCAAGTAGAAGCATTATTATATGCTTTCAATAGCACAGTAGAAAGATGAATTAAGCACACTGCCATTTATCTGTTCAACTAATAATATTCAGCATTCCGACACCCCATGCATTGTTCGGATCTCTCATGTGGCCTGTGTAAAGATTAATAGACATCAGTCTTTCAGGTGGACTGATTAGTGTTGCCAGGAGGGTCATGTGACTGGGTGAATGAGCTTAGTGTTAGTAACCCAGTATGTTATTTAAAGGCTTGCCATTAGTATTGTGCTAGAGAACTGCGTGTCGAGATCATCATGGCCGGTACAAACAAGAAACTGGGTAAGCTACTGCCTGTGTGGCAGGTCTTTACTAAATACAGTGAGTAAACCAAGAAAAATGTGATGGTAAAGATGTAAAGGTGCTGTTTTTTTATTTTAACACCAGCGTTACTGATTGTAAGTGGAGGTATTGCTTGTGAAGAAACAAGCTGCAGTCTGTGAGCCTGTGCTATCATCATGTTTTTGAACCTGTCCATTAACTTATTTTTCCTCTTTCTCTCTCCTCTGTTCCAGTTGATGCTGATGAGATTAAAAGGCTAGGAAAGCGATTTAAGAAACTCGACCTAGATAACTCTGGCTCTTTGAGTGTAGAAGAGTTTATGTCCTTGCCAGAATTACAACAGAATCCCTTAGTACAACGAGTTATTGATATATTTGACACTGATGGGAATGGTGAAGTTGACTTTAAAGGTAAGACTGAACTCTACAGCGCATTTAAATTCTTAACGATCTCTTACTGTAGTTGGCATTTCACAGCTGTCATTCACAAAGCTTTTATCTGGTTTCCTGCCATTTTCTAAACCTTCCATTTAAGGGGTTTTAATAAAACATGAGCAAACAGACTTGTAACTCATTTGAGATCCAGCTTCTTCAAATTGATGTGATGTGTTGTCCTATTAATGCATTAATAAGTCACAGTAGGCATATGCTGAAAAATGTTTACCTTCAGAATGAGAGATTTTTATAAATGATTAAATCTAGTTTTATAAAAAAATGCAGCTTCAAATCACTGTTGGAAGCCCAACATCCTTGACTGCTGTATTCACATTTGTAAATGGGTTGTGGCACTAATCGTAGGGATTACCCCAGAAATGGCTGTAAAAGAATAATAGAGATTGCCTGTATGTATATGAAATTAAACGATGCACACTTTTTTAACAAACACTCACACCTTATTGCTTTCTGATCCTTATTGCCTTCTTTGTCTAGTCTATAGATCAGGTCATGCAAGTTTTTTAGGTAGCATAGACGTTTTGCAATAATAAAACAACAAAATGCATGTATGCATGCATTGTTCTTTACCTCAGGCATTGAGGTAACTTAAATTTGTATATTAAATTAATATCGGATGTGTATTTTTTTTTTGTTTCTAGTTTATTTTTGTAATTGGTCTGTCTTAGCTTTTACAGATTTTACAACATCGTCATAATTAACTAAAGGGTTTTTAAAGTTTTAAAAAATATTTTACCTCTGGTTGGAAAACAAATTCTGGCTTGCTCATGTGAGACAAACCTTATCAGCTAACTTTAGTGAATGGACAACCATTGCTTTCACAGTTTAAAACTCGAATGGTATTCTGCTTTACACTCTCTGCATGAAATTGAATAAAAATAAACACATTTTATGCTTATGGAAAATTTTCTTCTGTAGTAGCTGTATAAATACTTCATCTTTCCTAAATCTTTAACCTCCCACTGCCCTTATGATTTTTACTGTGAAACAGGTTGCCCTGTCTGTCAGTTGTGTGTTTAGATCTTTCTCAGCTTCATTAAATGGAGACTTAACAATAACTAAACCCTAATAAAGGTAAGCCATTTGAAAGATGCCATCTTAACTCTTTTTGACTGCCCTCTCATTCAGGTCTAAGACCATAAGTTGAAACTAGTAAGAATCTAAATTAGTGAGACTATAAGACTTTCTTATTTACATAAATGCTTGTAAAATCTTCAATTTAAGTATATCTATGTTTTAAAGGTTTTTAACTTTTATTGTTTAGGAATGATCTATTAGTTCAACTGGGAAAATGTTTGTTCTGTGGAGAAATCCATTGACTAAAAAAACACAATAACTATATTGTTTTTTGTTCTATAGAGTTTATAGAAGGTGTTTCACAGTTCAGTGTCAAAGGTGACAAGGAACAGAAACTGAGGTGTAAGTATAGTGATGTTTGTGATATATGTTTAACACTATTGCCTTTCATAGCCTGATAGGATGTGTTTATATTTTAGTTGGGTACAAAACACAGTACATGGCATGCAACATTTTTAAAGGATGAGCACTTTGAAATGATAATGATAAGTTTGTGATAGTGCTGTTAAGCCTGAATGATGTCTCAACATGTTCTAGAGGCGTTTCTAAAGTCTTGGGGGTTTATTTTATTTTCAGATTCCTGTTACATTTTTTTTTACTTAAACATTTGGCTAAAATTCTACATTTACTTTGAAGACGAGCACTTAAAAGATTTTTAAAAGCTTTACTTTACTGTCAGGAACCTCAAGATACTATCACTGTATCTGCAGTATATAATTACAGTATTTAACCTTTCTCCTGACAATAGCTTTGTGTGTAAAACATGAGGAAGGTATGATCAGTATGTTCTGTAGCATATTCTCTGTGCACGTGTTCCGGGCATTGTTTTTTTCCCCAATTTTCCCATTCCCATTGTTTCTCCACCTCTTCATAGTTGCCTTTCGTATCTATGACATGGACAAAGATGGTTTCATCTCCAATGGTGAGCTCTTCCAAGTGCTAAAGATGATGGTAGGAAACAACCTCAAGGACACTCAGCTTCAGCAGATAGTTGATAAAACCATTATTAATGCAGACAAGGATGGAGACGGAAGAATATCCTTTGAAGAATTTTGTGCAGTAAGTTTGTCTAAAACATTCTGCTTGTTTATCTTCTTTCAGTTTACCTAGGCAGATGGGAACACATCTTTGTAGATTTCTTCAGAAACTTTAATTACAGCCTTTTTCTGTAATATGTAATTGACTTGTTTTTGACTTGTGTCTTTAGCTTATCTAGACCAAAATCAAATTGCTTTGCAGTCAAAAGAAGAAACCAATTTAAATTGGTTTGAATGGGAAGCTACAAAGAAGGGAGATAATTCCACCGTGAAAAGTAGAAAGTAATAACTCCTAAAGACACTTAACCAGAAATGTTTTTTTCTACTTTTCAACATTAACAACTATAAATTGTTGAAAAGAGATGTGATTCCTCAATAGTGCATTATTGCTGCTGCACTGATGTAGGACAGAGCCATGTTTACAGCAAGGCTGCTGGATTACTTACAAGTCCAAGAACATTAAATATCCTGTTTTGTGTCCCTTCAGGTTGTAGGCGGCTTAGACATACACAAAAAGATGGTAGTGGATGTGTGACTTGTCACTCATCTCCACGCAACACTTCTGCTTTCTTCTCCATCTCTGAAGATCTGCTCAAGATGTCCAGCAATGCTCTCTGTGTATTTAAATGGAAGTATTTTCTCTGTGAAGCCACTTTTTCCAACATGAGCCTCATGAAGCCAACTAAGTGTTATTGAACTTCGATTCTCTCAATAACTTGGTGTAGCACTTTAAAGTCTGAAGGACAGCTTATTGCGGAAAGAGCATCTCAGTATGGTGGAGGAAGGGAAGGGGTTTGGCTTGTCTTTTTTTATTTTGATTTTTTTATATTTATTTTGGTCTTGTCTTTTTTTAACAAGGAAGTATATCTATAGCTTTCTAAAGGGGGGATATGTAGTTAGATGAGGTGTAACTTAATGTACTTGATTTCAGCAACACAAAAGAGTATGAAGTGCCAAGCAGAACATTAAGAAACCAGTTCATATATAAATACGTACCATCCTTTAGTTTTTTGGAACTGGTAGAAGTACATGAAGTACTGCATGATTGGTTTAATGCATTTTTTTCCAAATACGTCCGTTTTCTATTTACACTTTATATGAGCTGATTTGATTTGAACGTTTAAGCTTTCAATCACATTAACAAAATATTGTCGAATTTTTGTAACAAGGGGATTGTATGTTTTATTTATATGTTTATATTGTCAGGGAGTTATTCTGTTCCTTGTTTTGCTTCTGCTATACAGTAGATAGAACTAGATGCCAAGAAGTTGACATGTCTTTGCGCATACAAACTGCAGTTTACTTATGGTAGGTAGATTTCTGTGTTATTCTGGTAACTTTGTAAAGTTCACATCCATCAAACTATCCCCTAAGTCATCAATTACAGCAAAACATTTCTATTAAAATCAGTTGGAACATTTTAATGTATTTTGTATTTTATTACCTTTTAAACAGCTGTTAAGGTAAATGTTTTGAATTTTGATTTACTTTGATTATACTATAAATGGTAAAACCTCAACAAAATAAGTGTAATGCATATAGTTTGTAATCCGTGAATATAGGCGAGATGCATCTTGCTTTATAGTGATACATTTACTGCAGGCAGCGTTAAAAACTTTTTTTTACCAATATATGTATATTAGGTAAATGAGGGATACATTTTGTTGACCTTTTACAGTTTTTAACGGAGGAAAACTTTACTTTTAGCTAAATTTATACCTCCATGTTACTTTTTCAGTGCCCTGTGTTTTCTTTCTTAAAAACTGAGTTACTCTTGATGTGTTTCAGTGTGTTGGATTTATAATAGAATACATTTGTGAGTTTAAGGGTGTGCATTATCCAGGTTCACTTTACTCCCCACTTTCCATCATCCCTTCCTAGTTTGAGGGTACAATTGGCTATAAATTAAAAGGTTCACAGAAACATCTTTGGTTTGGAATTTGGCTTCTTTAGTTAAGCTACTGATTGCTCAGAAGGCAGGTTCCACTTCAGACTTTAGAACACAAGCACCTCCCTGCCTTAGCTGTTCTTCAGTTGAGTGCTGCACGTCCACGGGCTCTGTGTGTAAGAGAGATCCAGGTACTTGGTGTCCTTGCATGACATGGAGTTTTTTTTGCATGTAGATCAATTTTGAAATGTTCCTCTTGTTTACATTAATTGTAATGTTCATATTATAAATAAAAATGTTGCCAAACTTTGGTTAATGTTAACATAATTAAAAAAAACTCCACTACATGTATCTTTTATCTTCTGGATCAGTGTGTTGCTCGAATTCCGGCAAACTTGCATATCTGTTCCAGTGTCAACTGCCATGTGCTCTGCTTCAAGGGGAAACAGTTTGAGATTTTTTTGTACATAAGAATTTATTTACTTTCACTTATCACTCTCTCCTCTGTGTTGCTAGTGTGTTACTTAGGCTGCAATTCTAGACTTTAGTGCTAAGATTCATTCCTTTTCAAGGAATGAGCTTTCAGTTTGTGTGGGAAAATGGTTAAGTTGAATGTTAAGCTTTTTTTTCTGCATGCTGCACCATATGCTGTGGGAATTGAAAACTTCATTCTGTATGAAAATGAAAATAAAACCATTTGAAGCTTAAGTTGATTAAAGCCTCTTGAAAAAGTTTACTTTTTAAAAAGCTGAATGCTCCATGTCTATAAAAAATAAATTAAAACTGAAACCCAGTCTTTTAAGTATACAAATATACTTCATACAGTACGTGAGAAAATAAACCCTCCAGCTGTATTGATGTAATATTCTGTTGATATGAATCTGAAAGTAACTTTACTAGCACATATGTAGTTGATGCATTATTACTTATGGTTCTGGAAGCTGATTACTATCAGAACGAGTACAAATAGTACTGTGCATCTGGAAAATGTATAAAAAGTTTCAAAACTGCTCAATACCACATGATTGCTTTGCACATTATTTTAAGTCAAGCCATCAGCTGTTGATGTAGCTTTATTCCACAACAAAGTTACAATTCACAACTTAACTCTGTGCTTCAGATTTAAGTTCATCATTGATCCACAGTGAAGTATAACAATGCAGTTAATTACAATTACAAATTGTTGGTGCCTTGAAGTCTTTAATCGTCAAACTCCAGCAGGCCTCAGTCACAGTGATTTGTACTTCTAGAACACCCAAAAATGTCCCAATTGTCCAGAATTTCCTAAAATCTCTCTGCAGTTCGACTGGCCACTGCTCGAATGTTACCATAAACTTTTGATGGAGGGCTTCCTGTTGGAAAAATTAAAAAATATTACAGATCATAACAGTTTTTTTAACCATTAAATGTTACAACATAGCAGGGGAGTCTGTTTTACATACAGTAATATGGCTATGGAAATAACTTCAGAAAACAATGGACTGAAAACACTTAAGGTTAAGACATCTGCTGTTCACTGGTCTACAAATCTCAAGGGTAGTTGTCAAAAGGTTCAGGCTTTTTACACCAATATAAATTTTTTTTCCTAAAATGCAGTATAAATCTTATGGAATTAAAAGTACAGACTCCTATACAAAACTTACCCAAAATGAGGTTGCATATAGCTGTTCGTGCCATTTTAATGTTCTGGAAAGATCCCAAAATATGTATTTTTCTAAAACAAAAGGGAAAATATTATTTGCCAAATACAGCCTCTAATTCTTTATATCTTGCATAATACTCAGAATTGTACATAAAACAATGGAGTATTTATAAGATCAGTTCAGTATAGGGTTATTCTTCACACCCACTGCCCAGTAGGTTGAGACACAATGACAGCGTAAAACAAAAGTACTCACGTATCCGCTAAGACAATCCTTGTCCGGGTCACGTTTTCAATTGTAAATTTAGTTTTTCCTCCTTTGCCTGCTATTCTTCCTATAGCTCTGGAAAGATGATCTCCCTTCAACGGTTTAACTTTAAAAAAAAAGGTATTTTGAGTTGTATTAAAGGGAGTCTACCTCGCTAACACACCTCTTAGAACATCTGAGGTACCCTATCAGTATTAATAATCCACAGAAAATAATTTAAAGGGACATCTTACTAGCATTTAAAGAATAAAAATGAGACTGTTTACAGCCCAGGGCACTGTCTAGGCAGTACCCAGCTGCTCTGTTTTTTAAATCAGAATCTTGGTTGGTTGACTTCTACATGACCCTGCATTTCAAAAAGAAAACTCGCAGGCTTGAAGATTAACACCTAGTTAAGAAGCTGACAGATTGCACCATTCTGGAACTGACTACAACACTTCAACAACCTCAAGTATGAGGTGTTGCAAGGACAGCAACTTTACCATATAAACATGAATGATGTCAAAACTATCAAATGACTTCAGTTTCTCATTAACGTTGTTAAACCCGAAGCTCACATAAGCCACAAACGAGCTAGATGGTTCCACATGGTTGGACATTTTGCCCAGTGGTCATTTTAAATGAGTAACAGAAAATCCATGCCACAGACTTTAATACTGACTTAGGACTTACCATCGGTGACCTCAAAGGTTTCTAGAAACAGCTCATCTAATCTGATAAGGGCTAGGGCATCCTGTGAACAAACAAATCTGTTGTTTAATGCCAAGTGTGTTTAATTCTTTACCTCAGTACCTACTCCAAATTGAGGGATATTAATATATTTACATCTAAGAAGACCCGACTTAGAAAATAATATAAAATGTCACCATGTTACACTACATTAGTCTGAAGAAGAGCAATTAGGTACATTCCCAGGATTGAACAAATACTTTTCTGTAAAACACAGAAAACAAATGGAAATTAATGGGAAGTACATTTATAACTTAAAACAGAAGGCACCTTTTAATATAAAGGGTCATAGATGCCTCAGGTAAACTACCTGGGGTGTTCAACAGGGCTGATAACCTAGCTTATTTTAAGAAATGCTGGATGAAACTCTGATCAACTGGCCAACGGCAAGCAAGTGTGTTAGATGACCTAAACTTCCTCTCATTAGTAGCCATTATGTTATATTATGCTTGGTTCTCAAATGTAAACCAGACGTACAACATCACACAACAGTCAATGTTATGTATTTTTCAAAAACATGAAAGCCATAGGAGCAATCCCAAAATTTGCCCATATTTTACCTGAATCTATACATACATATATAAGGTAAGAAACTCACCTCCACTTGAAATCCTAGTACAAATGCTTTCACAAAGTCTGCTGCTTTGGTAAGTGCACTTATGTCTTGTGTTTCTTTACAGGTCTGAAAAAAATAAACGCATTAATTACGTTACAGGTTTGATGACGTCTGGCTGTAGCCTAATTATTGTTGAAAGAAGGCAATTACTAGATTTTGACGTAATGAAACATTAAAAGGATGCTTACATAGTTTGCATCTACCCTTACACAGCCCAGTCACACGCATTATTCTAAAAGGTACTGACTCTAAAATTGTTTGGCAATTTATACTACCAAATATATTTCTAATCATTAAATTCAGAACGACTGAGTAGATCTATAGTAGAATAACACCAATCAGCGTTAAGAGGCGTTTCAGTTAAGAAGGTAAAAACTTACTTTTATTTCAACATTTCTTGTTTTAAGGTTAAACCTGACTTGTAACTGTAAATGTTCTACGATGGGAGTGAAGATCTTCATCCAGTTTTCTTTCAAAGGTGTATACCGATGTGACGGTACAGGGATTTTTCGCATTTCATCAGAATCTCCCTATAAAACGACGAAAACATAGCATAATCAGCAGGTAACTCCGACTAGCTAGCCCCAAAGAAGCACATGTTACACCACAGATCGTATAATCTACAAATAGTGTTAACTACTTTACCTTCATTTTGTCTCCAGAAATGGGTGGAAATTCGGGTCTCTTCCTATGAACTTCAGTTTCCATCTGCCCATCGTCAACTTGACGCTTTCGCTTGTTGTTTTTCTTTGATTTAACTTGCTTAAACTCATCGGCCACGTTCTGACAGCCCGTACTGCTGCTGGGCTCGTTACCAGTCCTCGTCGTTTGTTCAACTTCCATTGTTAAGCGATAAACAGCTCCTGCAATGAGAAAAATCCCTGTACTTCTTATAGAACACTAACAACTGCAACACATGCGGTAAGACACCATCTTGTAAAAGGACCTAACGTGGCCACCAGCGTCCTTCTCATAAAAACAAATAGACGACTTTCAGGACTACGTCACTACCCCTCCTAGGACCCAAAGGTAAAAAAGAATGTTACATACTTACGTTACAAATAAATACAGAGTATTGTACCATGTAGGTTTAAAAAATCTTTCGTTATTGCTAAAGATCTAAAAATGTAATCTTAAAAGTGAATTAATGTTTTAATCACTGTAACAGCTCGCTACAGTTAAATACATACGTTATTGCTACGGTAGTGGTGTTCAATATATTTTCAGTCTGTAACACGATCTGAAACGACAGCGTACAGGGGTGCAGATAATTAATTTTGAAGAATGTCTAAGGATTTCTGTGCGACTTCAAGTGTGGCGCAATTGCTTCAGGCGCGGCACAAGACAGCTTGCAGTTTGTGGGGTCCTCCGGCTGAGTTAGGAAATGGAAACCCGACGGTACAGTAACTGTGGCCCACACTGCTAGACGTGACCAGTGACGAGACGTGCTGTCAGAGCTGGAGCCTTGTTTCTACCTTTTAGATATTTTTTACTTTCATCTTTGAATTTGAACATACGCCGCCGCCGCCGCCTCACGAGAAGCAATGTCGACTCCTCTGGAGAAGCCGCAGATTATTTCTCACATACAGAAAAGTCTCAACTACACTGTGTTTGATTGCAAATGGATACCCTGCAGTGCCAAGTTTGTGTGCATGGGGAACTTCGCTAGGGGGACGGGAGTGATGCAAATCTATGAAGTCCAACACGGAGAAGCTAAGCTTGTCAAAGAGGTCTGGCCAACGTATCCTGTTGATTATAATTTGTATTGGTCATTTATTTAGATATTTAAATGGCAAGGCAGTTTTCTAGAAAATACTTCGGCGGATCGTTACCATGGCAATGCACGCTTTGTCCATAAGGGCAACACCTTTGCTGGGTTTTTAAGTCGCACATTGTTCTTGTTTTAACAGAAAGACGACAAACGAGAACTATTCGTTTAATTAAGCTTAAAGTTCAGGTCTCTTGGTGATATAATCCAGATGACTGCAATGGATTGTCGTGGGGAAAGTTATAAACAGACAGATTTTCCGATGTATTTGCATTGAATTGGTTTGGGTTTCTGTGCTATCCACGCCAATTTCAGCGTCCGAAATGTTGTCATGTTTTGTCTTTTCGTAGATTGAAAAGGCCAAGCCTATTAAGTGTGGAACATTTGGTGCGACTTCAATACAGCAGAGGCATCTAGCTACTGGAGATTTTAGTGGGAACCTCAATATCTGGTAAATTTAACTTTTATCAGTAAGAATCTTAAGGTGAACCACGTCTTTCCTTTCTGGGGTGAAAGAAAATGCAAATGATGCAAGTGCAAGTATTGCATAAACAAGGCTGTTTTATTCTCAGCTGAAGTAGTCCCTAATGAATACATGGTATCCTGTTTTGCTTTTTGTCCTCTTAATGAGGCTTTATGAGTATTATTTGAATTATGCCAAATAAAAGTTGTTTGCAGCTGAGGGGTTATAGTGCTTCTGTCATTCAGAAACATAATTTGGGAAAGTGGTGTATTTGTCTGGTGTGAATGGCAGGATTGCAACGTGAACATGCGCACAGTCTTTGTTTGAATTCCTTCAAAATATATTTTGTAGGAATCTTGAAGTGCCGGATGTCCCGGTTTATTCAGTGAAAGCACACAAGGAAATTGTGAATGCCATTGATGGTGTAGGAGGCCTGGGTATTGGAGATGGAGCCCCAGAGATTGTGACTGGGAGCAGAGATGGTAAACACATGCTGTTCATGTTCATGTAAACTTTGTACTTGTGGCTTATGAACTTGGTAACAAGTAGTGTGCAGAATATATTTTAATTCACGTTAAAATGCTGAAATGTATGTTTTGATTTATACAGGAACAGTTAAAGTGTGGGACCCAAGGCAGAAAGACACTCCAGTTGCAAATATGGAACCAGTTGAAGGAGAGTCAAAGAGAGATTGCTGGACTGTAGCATTTGGTATGTATAAGGAACATGTGGCTACTGTTTTCTGCATATTTTGTTTGAGGTTTTCCAAGATTGTTCCAAATGGTGTTAAAGCAATCCATCACCCACATTTTTAGCCTGAAATAAAATACATGAGAAATACTTTTTCGGGGTCAAAATGTTTTTAACAATTAATCCTGTTGATTTTCTATATGGATATGGGTATTGAAAATCATCAAGTTTTTTGTGGTTTAATCGCACTCCTTGGTTGCCAACATTTAATCATTTCACAGTTGAAATGCTTTTAATGTTACATTTACTGTGTCGTGAAAGCTGAAGTATATATTTTGGAGGCTTTATGTAAAAAATGAAATGAAATTTCCAAATAGACGTTTTCATGTATGTTGAAGAGGTTTTAATTTTGTTTACTTACTCAGTGCACTCTTTATTTGGTAGTATTTGGTGCCTTTCAAAATTATATTGCAGTATTTGTATTTAAGTGATACATACAACTATTTTTCTGCCTGCCTAAACATACTATATATATAAAATAAGGTACAGAATACAGGTAGCCTTCTTAAGATTAAAATGTTTACCTCTGTATATCATAAAGACGTAATGAGGAACACAAGATTAGCGTTTAACCTGTTATCTATCACCATTATATAATGTAGTATCAATGTTTGTGTCTAGATGTAGTACAATGAATAAATATTGATATCACAACTATAATTATACTTTTAAAAGATAATTCTTTCTTTTCACTTCAGAATCTGATTTTACATTTTGTTTGAGTTAGGACATGCATTCAATGACCAGGACCGCTGTGTGTGTGCTGGATATGATAACGGCGATATTAAACTTTTCGATCTGAGGAATATGTCACTAAGATGGGAAACAAACATTAAAAATGGGGTAAGGTGGAACACCAGTATCAGTTTTAAACTAAAAGCATTCCGATTAACATATAACTAGACAGTTTTTTTTACTGTTGAACTGTTTCTGAATAATTAGTAAATGCTAAAACTCTATCTTAATGAATCTGGCTTTTCCAACAGCAAAAGGTATTTGATTGACAGGATGAAAAGATGTTGCATTCTTGAAGGAAAGTAAAACAGTAATACATTGTGTAGTGTTTACCAAGTTTTCATCTTGCATGATCTTCAATTCTGCCAAGTCCATTGTATTTCTATGAATTTTCTTAATGCTTTTTAAGACTGTTTGGTTTGAGTTATAACTGAGTTATATTAATGTGGGTGCATATTGTGTTATTGTACATCATGTTTCTGTAATGTCTTCTTTTCATTGTATGAGTTGCAGTGTTTGGTTTCATTTTTTGTGTAATTGACAGGTATGTTGTGTCGAGTTTGACAGAAAAGATATCAATATGAATAAACTTGTTGCCACATCACTGGAAGGAAAATTTCATGTGTTTGACATGAGAACACAGCACCCCACCAAGGGCTTTGCATCAGTTGCTGAAAAGGTAATTAACCAAAGAGAGATTTAGGCTTTCCATTTTGGAAGATGTGAAAGCTTACTTTTCTTAAAATACAAAGTTTCTCTTTATATGAAAATCTTTACATGTTGTCGGCTTCTTATGCTGAAATTTGCTCAAAGAGAGCTTCTTACTGTTGAAAGTACAACTCGGATATTTAATTAGATGTGTATTTATAGGAACGGTCAGAGTTCTCAGTTGTTGTCTCATGATTTTAAGGGAATGCTGTCCTTTTAAAACTACTGTTCTGAAGTTCTGAAAATATTTGAAATTCAGGAGAAAATGTATATACAGAAGAGGAAATACTTATGTTTCTGTGTAATTTTGATACATTGACCCCTTTCATTATTAAGCAGGGGATATATTATTTGTGATATTTGATTTTGCTGTTTGACAGATTACTCTTTTTCTATGAATTTTCTATGAATGTACAGGACTTCCATATGAATACCCCATAAAACATGAATACATTTTTGTAGTTCATGATGTTTTGATAAAGTGCATATCAAGACATTGCAAACATGCTGTACACAAAGTTTTGTAAAATCTGATCACATTGTCTTTTTTAGGCCCATAAATCTACCATCTGGCAAGTAGGACACTTGCCACAAAACAGAGACATCTTCATGACAGCAGGAGGAGCTGGGAACCTACATCTCTGGAAATAGTAAGTATTTGGCAAATACATTTTAAAAAATTGTCTGTTAACCTTTGGAAATCTGTTAACCTTTGGAAATCTGTTAACCTTTGGAAATCTGTTAACCATGCCCTGTAATACCATAGATATTAAGACGGAAAAACCAAATAAAAATACTTTTTGTTTTAGTTTTTAAGGTTTCTTTTTTTTAAGTGAATTATTGATTGGTGATTCTGATTCTGATGTCAGATTGTTTAAATCTGGTAGTGCTGTGAAAATAAACTCCATGGGGATTGATTTTCCTTTGGTTAAAACTGAATCTGAAAGTATAAGTGTTGTTGATTTTTGTCCCGGTTTTGTTTTAATTGTGGTTGTGAAAAATAGTAGATTTCACTGCTGTAGTTTAAGATCTATTTCTGTAGTGTTTCATCCTTGGTATAGATTTTTTAAAATCTTTTTTACTTGTTTATTTCAGTGAATATCCAGCTCAAAGAACTAAGAAGGATGCAGATGATATTGATATGGGAGTGGCAGGGTCTGTCAGCCTTCTTCAGAATGTGACATTGTCAACACAGCCCATTGCAAGTCTTGACTGGAGTCCTGATAAACAGGGTCTCTGTGTAACCTCTGCATTTGACCAGACCGTGAGAGTCCTCATTGTTACTAAACTCAATAGAGTATAGAAAAATGACATTGAAAATATTAGCTGTCCTTAAGCACATTTAATTTTATTACTGGAGTACAGAGTAATTAGAAATTATAATGTTGACTTAGAAAATTAATTCTGGAGAAGAAAAACACCCATGTTAAACAAGATGAAGATGAGTTCTTTATTCTGGTTTTGTTTTCTGTGATTCTTATGGTGTTACTGCCTCTTTAGAAAGGCATAATATAGCATGTTAACTACACAGTTGAAAGGTGATTGGAAGGCAGGTGAGTACTGTCAAATGAACTTGATGTATTATGTCTGTACTATATTGCCTTTGCTCTAGCTGGAAATTGTTTGTAATAAGTTGCTTTGCTGGTGTAGCCAGCATGGCGGAACATACAAGGAGAACAAACACAAATTCCACATACAGTGTAATATAAGTAAGAATTACATAAAACACATATTGCAGGTTTTAGAATTCAGTTAATTTATTTGTATTCCTTTAAGTTTAATTTGTATTAAAAATCTTTTTTTAAAATAATTTGTTTTCCAAATTGTTTGTGTTTCTTCATTGTTTAAAGCTTTTGCCAAGATATGTTTTTGTATAGATGTGCCCAAATTGTTTTTTTTTAATCTTGTTTGACACGGAACTCTTCCAACAATTGAAGCATTTATCATGACATTGCTATGGAGGAAAATTAAATGATGTAATTTCTGCAGTTCCACTTGAAAATTAACAATTTTCTCAGATCCAGCACTTGAATCGAAAGAATTCCTGCAAATCCTGGTCTTCAACTGATTTGTCGTGAATCCCAGCATAAATTGTCTTCAAAAGCTTTGTTTTATATTTTCCTTCAAGAATATTAATATATTTTTCCAGGCATCCTACAAAAAAAACAATATATATAAATCAATAACTAAGGCATTATGCTTTAAACTTCCCTTATTTCTTAATATGCCTTTGATTAAAATATTTCACAATTTTCAAAACAAACCTTGTAAAATGTATTCTGGAATAAGATTACATCTACAACATAAAGGCATTGCAGAATACTGTGAGAAAACCAGCTCACACAGACTGGCCTATAGACATCAAATATAGAGTAACCACCTGGCCTGATAATGTCTGGACACTGAGACAACAGGAATTGAAGATCAATTAAACATTACTGCATTGATAATGCTGTTTAATATCAGCAATTTAAATTCAATAATGTTGATTTGGTATGGAGTCTGGAATGACGAAAATAATCTTCTGTGAGCTTTACAAATCATAAATAATGCTAATGCTTTGTTTAGGCGCAAGGCCTGCTAAGAAAAGTATTCTTTATGGATAATAACTCGGGAGTTATTTTTCTTCTTACTGAGTCACTTGCTGCTACCAGTTTCTTAAAGGATGTGACTTAAATTGAGTAGGATTCCATTTTATACTATCAATCTAACATTATTTTATAAAAGGATCAGATTACAATTTAAAACTTCTGAGTGGAACAAATTAGGACAATAGTATGAATATGATGTAAATTTCAGGTTTTAAGGGATGTCTGAAAATGATGGACTGATTCCAGAGAAAATGAAAAATATTCTACGTGATTTTTATTAATTCATAAGAATTGAATTGTTATAATTATTGTGCAGGTCCTGATAATTAAGTTGCAGTATCAAGTTTACACTAACTGAATTAAGTTTCAGGAGAACTGTAAAAATATTGTTCTATCTCAAAAGTGTCTGGTGACTATGGGGTCACCTGGCAACCCTAATAAAAATCCAGGACTCACATGCACAATATGTTGTTATAGTGTTACAGTATAAAATAAGTCTTATTATTAGGTTTATTTTTTAAAAAATTCAGTTCTTCGGTGGCTGTACATTTAAAAGCACATACCTAGTCCCATGACCTTTCCATATGCAATGAAGGTAGAGGCCAAATTTGGATGTTCATATAGCTCTTGTTTCATGAGAATGCGCACAATTTCTCCAGTAATGAAGGCATCATCAAAAGACTGTTCATTGACTGGTTTTAGAGGAAATTTGCAGTAAACGTCTACAGCAGCCAGAGGGTCAGTCTTTATTAGTAGGTCAGCAAGTTCGATATAGGCATCATGAACCTAAAAAATAAATGAAGGGGTGAATTTTACGGGAAATGTCCCTTTTGTAGATTACCATTGAACTTTAATTTTCTTTTTCAATGGGTATTTAAAAACGTTTTTGTCTTAAATGCAGATATTAAGAGGTATCTATAACTGCTTAGCTGCATTAGGGCTTATGTTACAGGTTGGCCCTTTAACCTAAGTCTTATTAAGATCAGATAAATTATTATAGATACCAAAAAAAAGCAAAGAGGAAGAAGGAGGCCTGTGTAGTGCACACCTCTGGTGCCATTGTAATGACTTCCTCATAGAGCTTGCAGGCCTGGTCTTGTGTGTCTTCGGTCCGAGACAGAGCACGTGCAAGACCAAGGCGATGAGTATGTGATCCTCGGTTTATCGAAATTGGGCTATTGGCAGGACTTGCTGGCACAAGCTCTTGAGTAATGTTACCTACAATAAATAAAAATTACAGGAGTGATGGACCTTTTTTGTGGACTTGTGCAAAAATTGTCCTAACCTCAAAAAACTTTCTTCTACCTTTGTCCTCAATAGCACTGCCTCCCCAGTTTCTATCTGAAGATGTATCTATCCATTTTCTAACCACATATCAAAAACGGGGTCATAGCTGAGCCAGAGCCTAGCCTGGCAAGGAACAGGCATATGTCAGGATACACCCTGGATGGGATGCCAATCCATTGCAGGGCACAGACATAAGAAACACACACACCCTCACAACAGGGCCACTTTTCCCAGAAGCCAATTAACCTACCAGCATGTCTTTGGACTGTGGGAGAAAACCAGAGCACCCAGTGGAAACCCACATGAAAACAGGGAGATTCCAACTCCATGCAGATAGCACCCCAAGAATTGACCCAAGGCCCCAGGGCTGTAAGGTAGCAATGCTGACCACTGCACCAACCTGGCAGCCCATCTAAAGATCCTTCCAGTGTAAAGAATTACAGTTTATCAGCTTAGTATCATTACCAAAAAATAGCTGACAATACTTCAGTACGGAAGGTTGATGATATATCGGCAAGTTCAATATGAGTCATAAATGTAATAGTTTGCTACAATTCATTTTTATCCTTGTGTGCATAGATGGAAAATGTGAAAGACTTTGTGTAAATAAAATCACAAAAACATAATGTAAAAATTGTTACACAATAGTATGCTTTATATTCATCTCTGAAAAACAGTTCCAAAATGTGTTCCTCACCTTCAGCAGTAACAGGTTTTATCTGAGGAGGCTGACAACACTCTTGCTTGTCGGACCTTCTGGGAGCAAGCTGTGATTTAGAACTTGTTTTAGTGGCGGGTTTGGATGCCCCATTCAACTTTTCGGGAGTCACAACACTAGCTTGCCACCTAGTGGAGAAAGAACAGTAAAAGGTGGTTGGGGTGCAGAGTACTGGATATGTACTTCTGTGCTTTTTTATAGAATACAATGAAAAATAAATGAACAGTTCTCAATAAAAGATGCATTACATTAGTCCAATATCCTATCTGTCTGCTATGCATTATCCTGCATTAAAATAACTATAGTGCATCAGTTCTAAAAAAGTACAGTACATTTAACTTAGGCTGGTATTAACCAAATATTTTAAAACAGTCTGTTCATTAAAAAGCAGTATACAAAAGGAAGATGAAAGTGAACATTTTTTATGGACTTCCCATCCAGCTGTATGTGTTGTAGATGCAACTGTTTCATTACATAATCTCAACGGCTGTTAGAATAATTGGCATATGCACAAACGTCCCAGTTTTTCTCTGGAATGTCCTTGGCATTTGAATCCCTTGTTCTGTTAAATATAACTACCCATGTTTAATTTAAAAGTGTATTTCTTATAAGTGCCTTGTTCTGCCATACACATCTCAGAGTTCAAAGCGTGCTTGCTTTCCCATGTGACCTTGAGCCAGGTGCAGTGGTCTTGGACATGGGCACAGCTCTTGGTGAGGGGGTTCCTCCTCCTCGACTTGGGACTGAAGCCTTCGCAGGTGTGGGAACACTTCCTCTGGCTGTGACTCCCTTCCCTCTTGTAGCTCCTTTGCCAGCTGGCATAGGGCTTGAAGATCCCGCTGCCCCTGCAGCAGTAAGAGACTGCTGGGTGGTTTTCTCCTTCTCTTTCTCCCTGGCACGCCAGTCCTGCCACCACTTTTGTCCTGTTTTGTAAAGGAAAGCTATATGTAAAATTGACACATTGACTGGCTGGCTTCCCAATTAAAACAGAAAACATTGCTAGTATGTTCATTTTCAGTAGGAAGGACATCTGTAACTGCTTAAAAAAAGGGTATCTTGTAAAGAAAACATGGTATTTCGCTTACTTGCTAGTTTTTCTGGGGGAGGTCCAGAGTCTGGCATGTTTTCAAGGTTGATACTGGCTTGGAAACTGAGGCGTGCGTCACTGATGGCACGCTGGCCCTGCTCAGAATCGGGGTCACTGTCATACTGAGCAAGCTGTGCCAGGCCAAGAAGGTACAGGGCATGACTGCTGCAGGGTGTGGCAAGAACCCCTAACTGGCATACCTGTTGACATGAAGGACAGGTGAAGATGTACTATCATAAGGCAGAATACTTTCAGTCCACAGAAATATGTGTAAAAACAAGAAGTCATTAAAAAGGTTTAAAAAATGTGCTCCACAGCAATTAAATGATCAGTATAGGGAGGCACCAAGTTCAAGACTGTAGAAGTACTACAAACATAGAGGCCAGACTACTGGTAAACAAAAATGCTGGGTTTAATGAGCAATAATATGATTTTGAAAATATCACTCATGACTATTCTACATAAAGTTCTGTAGAAACCAAAAGAGAGATGTCTTTACGAAGCCTGTTAAGAGAACAAGAGGAGGCTGTACTGCAGTACATTATTTCTTTATTGGACACACTGTATGTACCTTGTTCTGCATGTCTAGAAGCTCTCTGCAGGGAGGGATAGCAGTGAGTCTAATCAAGGCAGTTAGCCCCTGGCACCTCTTGGCAATCCAGGACTCATTGCCCCTGGGCTTGGCTAGAAGAGTCTCCACCAAGGAGTAGTGTGCCTCAAGCAATGTCCACTCCAGCTGCTGCAGCGCCGCGCCGCGGGACACACACCGGCTCACGCTCCTGGCTGCCAGATCGGCCACGCTGAAACGCAGACGCCAGGAAAAGGTTGTTCTCAAAACTGGTGAGTGATGAAAAGCTGTTCGCTAATTACATTAGCAACCAAAGTAGCAAGCATTGGAATTCATGTCAAGACATCCTGGCTTGAATGGCAAATACTTTTTTTTTAAATTATTTTTGGAGTATTTTAAAGTGTACTACATGATATTAGTAATTGTTCATACATTAATGAGAATGCATAAACAGTTATTATTTTAAGAATAGTAGACTAGAACACATTTTGATCTACTGTATATTTTAAATTACAATTTGAAAAGCCAGGATTAAAACAAAAATATATTAATTTAACTATCAGAATATTCAGTATTATAAGTCAATATAATACACTGCACATGATTATCCTTTGCAAACACATCATGAATTCTGTCTCACATGTGAAAGACTTGCTCTGGGTTCATTGTTTTCTCTGGGCATTTAACTGTTTTGAGCAGTGTTCCCAGACTGAGGCAGCCTCGCAACAGCTGTGTGTTCACAGTGGAGAACAGGTTAGCAGAGTCTAGGCCATTTTTTCTGAAAGAAAAGTTAACAGTAGGAAAAGATGGTTTAAAGAATGCATGCATTCACTAATTTTGTGCAAAAAACTTTTCATATATATTTTCTTAAACCACTCAAACATGATTGGTTTACCACTCCATCCACTCAAAAAATTATGATTTTCTTGGTGAGAGCTGTGGCAACCTGGAGTTTATACTGGAAGCAGGCGAAAGGTGGGACTGAGAACACATGACTGCTCTCACACCGGACAGGATGCCAGTCCAGTTTAGAATATTCAGTCAGATCTAGTCTGCATGTTTTTGAAAGAAAACCAGAGCACTCAGAAAAATATCCACAGAAACATAGTCTAATATTGGACACAGGACTCATGTGCTGGTAAGCAGCACTACTATTTAGGAGATCAGGTAGAGAAGCCAGAAGCTTTTTCCACAATTGAATTAAGAAAGAACCTTAAGGAGGCCAGAATTTAAATAAGCCATGAGATTGGGTTCCATGACCCCTACTCTTATGGATAGTGCACATGGATTTTTAATGGCCAAATTACAAAAGGCTTTGGATTATTGTCTCGTTTAGAGGACAATATCTCCTCCAGTACCATGGCCTTGGTTACAATCCTGGGGATTTGATTTGGAAATTATTTTCCAGAAGGGAAAGCACCACCTACAAATGCACTAGCACCCCTTACAGCAGCAGCCTGCTTTTCCTTGGATGTTCTCCCATCTCATAATTGCCATACTTAGCTAATGAAACCTTACAAGACCAGGAAAGAAGATGAAAATACCACTGAAATTGTTAACCAATTGTCATTTCTTATCTTAATAACATCCTTAGCATTATTCACTACGAACTTTGTGGAGTAAGGAGGATTCATACCTCTCCTGAGTGTACTGTTCAGTGATACACTGCTGACTAAGAAGCTGCTCCAGACCCTGTTGGAGATACATTACAGCTTCTTGCACTCGGCTACCGGCCCCTCCTTCCTGCTGCAGCAGAGCTAGGCCTGTGTAAAACCTGCAACAGCACAGTCACATGGCATTAAACCCCACATATTTTATCTATCTCAGAAAAAACGTAAATGTAGTTCAATGTAGCAACGTAGAGTGACATTATTTCTCTTGAAATATAAAAAAAGTTTTAATGGTCAGAATAATTGAATAGCTCTACATACAGTATAGCCTTGTTTGAATATTCTTTGCTAGACATTCATTTTCGTTATTCCAGTAATTCAGCTTTCAATCACATCCATCTACTGTATTTAATTTCTCTGTAGTTTAAATAAACATGAATAATTTAGCATTTTAATTGTTTGACATTCAGATACTTCAGCAACTGTTTCTATGAACTGGATGATATAATATCTCGACTTTAAGTTAGAAATTGACTTAAAACAGATACAGTACATTTTAAATAATTGTTTTGTGAAAAAAATACCAGAGAAAAACTGTATTAACGGTTATAATACATTTCTCCTGAAATTGTGGTAGCACAATGCACTTTTTTAATGGAACGCTTAATAATCTAGTACAAAATATCAGCAGAAGTACATGAGTGAGTAACCTGCTAGTGTATTCATAGTAGGTACCTTGTTGGTGCCCAAGAGGGACGGAGAATGAGAGCTGTCTGTAGGTGTTGCAGTGCTTCTTTGCATTTTCCCTGCAGCAGTAAAAATCTGCCTACATACAGATTCAACTCCCAGTTATCGGGATTTAAAGACCAGGCATCAAGGTGTTTCAAAAAAGCTTGGTGGAGTGGACTTTCTTCATCTGAGACCCCAGTCCTACCATCCTAATAAGAAAGTCCAAAATAATACTATATTATAATTGTAACATACTATTATTACTTTAATATTGTTTATATTGTTTATGTATTATTATTATTATTATTATTATTATTATTATACATTACTTATGTATTATGTATATTATTGTGATATATTACCATTACCACTCATTTTAGAATTTCAAAAATAATGGCTATAATAACCAATCATGGTTTAATGGCTAGCACAAACAAAAAAAAAAGAAAGTATCAGGAAAGCCATGGAATGAAGATGAAAGACTGATACCTGAAAGCTCTCTTAGCATTTTACAGTTAACCCTGTGCACTTTGAACCGAGGAACATCTCTTTGAACTATAAATAACTGAAGAAGTTACCTTTCCAGCCTTCTTTGATAACCAGATAAAAAGGGTCTGAATGTAGTCAGCCCTAGCTGACTGGCCCTGTTCTTTCAGCTGATGAAATTCAGCATCCAGAGCTTTGAGCTGATTTTCCAGCGTAGGCTTGCCATGCAAGCCATGCAGTTTGCAGATGGCCAGGATTTCATCCTCTCTTCCAGAGGCTTTGGCACTACTGAGGTCCTGTGGATCGTCTTCAACCTGATTAAAACACAGGAAACAAATTTGGCACGACAATCATATTGCTCCTCATAACATTCTCCAGATGAAACCTTAGACATATTAGAATTTTGTTTTGAATAAAGAAACATTTAGAAAAAGGCATTTCTACACATTTATCACAGTATAACGCTTTGTCAGGTTACTTTAATGACTCAGTTTAATTGGGATATGGAAAAATCATGTTTGGCTTGTATTTTAAATCAGCTACCATAAACCAATATTTAATACAAATGTTATTATTTCAGGCATAAAAATGTTCTTTATATTGACATAATTATGAGACTCCTGCAGTACTTGGCATGAATTCTTAGAATATCTATGCCATTATGAAGCATGTAGTATTGAAAACAGGAGGCTACTCCTTTTTTTATCTCAAAGACTGGTTGTGGGGACATGGATCAAACTGCACAGTCATGTTGTTGAAGCAGAACTCATTTTGATCCTCCCGATGGATAAGCTACTAGTGACCAAATTAGGATGGTCCAGATGGCCTCCTCTCATTTGTAACTTTTCTTCTCGTCTTGTACACAACACAAGAGATCTGGAGACAAATCTGGATGGAAGTAGTAGGCTTCATTTACCTTCCTCTTAAGCCCATAGATTTCAGTAGCGTAGTACTGCTCTTCAAATGCCAGACCCAGCTGGAAGTGAAGATTTGGATCCCTTGGTTTCAGCTTGATGGCTGAGGCATAGTCCACTAAGACCTGGTGTAAAGCATCCAGCGGGGATTCTCCTTCTTCATTCAGAGTAATGCCCCCTGCACAAGAAATAGAGGCAGCCCTGAAGACCGTTTATCCTAGTTCTACTAGTATCCTAGTAACTAGTATCCTAACTAGTTCTAGTTATCTATTATACCTTGCATTTAATTTTTGGAAATCACAAACAATAATGCATTAGATGCTATATTGTGTTCTAAGTGAGAGAATGCGTTACATTTTGTAGTCTGGTACATAGCAACGAGGTCTTTATAAATAATGTGTTCTATTTTTCTCTGAAAACACTTCAGCACAATTATCCTATATATGTGGGAGGCTTTCAGAGAATTTTTATACAATATACACGATGTGTAGGCACTCAAATAAGATAAAGAGCTTTATTAAAACTTGAATATTTGGATCAACACAGTTTAGCATTTTTAAGAGTATGTCTTCGCTTTTCAGTTCCACTTAAACTTCTACCCAGGGAAACATGACTAAAATGTTACTTTAATCACTTCTCTAAAACTCTCATTCCTCATCTTTTAAATTTAATCAATTTAGGATATTTTTCTAGTCTTAAAATTCTCTATATAATACAGCAACAGGACTTTGGGTACACTTGAGTACCTCATCAAGAAATTAAATCATTTATTTTGGCCAGTCAGTTGGCTGATTGCATTTTATTTCAGCCAAAATCACTTTGATGTCTTTCACCATCCCTTCTGCTTATGAAATATGCCCCATTATCTAGTATTACCTAGAGAATGTGAACATTCACACTTTAAGCTCAGTGGTAAATTTCTAATTACTACAAAGGAGTTCAAACTGTTGTTTAATACCACTCATATAATTTTATTGCTATATAGTAATTACTCAAAGGAGTCTCAAAGTAATTTGGTATGGATGATTTAGCTTCAGACTTGTAGTACAAAACAGAATAAAGAAAAACATGCCTGATTTAGGAAGCCTTTGTTTATATAATTTAATGTGTTCTTCAGCATGGTGACAAAGTTTGTCAACATCGTCTTCCATGAGTGCCTTCTGCAGCCTCTTCTCCCAGCTTCGAATCTTTTTTTAAAAAACACACTTCAAGTGATATTTCATAACCAATTTTTAATATATAGCTTAATTTCATTATCCTGAGAATATTAGACAGTTCGAGATTATTGGAAATTTGCTTAAGAAGAATAATTCATATACAGTAGAAGAGTTGACTGTTTACTGGTTAAATTACATTAGCGCTAATGCTGTGCCACAACACTGATTCTTAATTATAGCTGAAGTTAGTCTCTAACCCAATTGTCAGAGCCAGCCAAAAGGTCAGTCAATGCTACATCATAACCTGAAATACACGTTTTTCTGGAAACTAACTTTAACCATAACCCCACTTATCAATCCAGTTGTCCCACCATTTATATGGAGCCCTATAAAACTAGTGTTTTAATCTGTTTTTTCAGGTCCAAAATATCCATATTCAATAGCACTCAACAGCATTCTTTTAATTAGTAACATCATTGAATAATTAACCTTCAGAGGATGACACTTGTGAGCTTATGCTATTCAGGATATTTATAAGCACGCTGTTTGTAAATATTAAATACATATCTAAATAATAAATCTAAAAACAAGGAAAAGGATGAATCATATTTTCAAAAAGAAAGAAAAGAGTTGTTTACCCTTACAAGAAGCAGTGCAGAGAATCCATAATTTTGATTCATTTTCTATACCTTATTCATTTTTATATAGCGTTATAATCTTTGAATTAATGCTATAATGCATTTCTTTGTGTGTTTATTTTTTAAGGTTAAAAAACAAATTGAATTCTGGTTAACATTACCTGGAAAAGTGATAGTTAATACATACTTTTAAAAAACATCTAATTGCGTGGAAACTTTTAGGAAGGCAACAAAAGTACTTGATAAATTCAGTATAAAATATCATTTCTCCTAGGCTAGCAGAAAATGCATACTATTAATTTTAAATTATAATTCTGTTTTTTAAAGCTGTTTTATAACTACTTTAGTACTACTAATATGTTTTATTTAAAAAAAACTACAGACATGGAATCTTTACTGTTCTTATTAAATTTAAATCAATAAAGAATAAATTATTTACACTTTTTGTAAAATAATTGTGATCTACAGTAAGCATGTGATCTTTTGTTTACCTGCAGAGTATGTTTTGTCTCAATTTGAAGACTATCTGAAGAAGCAGATTGTGCTTTGTACCATTCAGAGTCCGTAACATCCTGAAAATAAAAGGCTTCATGTTAAGTTGTGTATTCAAATAAAAGAATTGAAATTCTTACACAGAATGGAAAGTTAGTCTGAAACATGGGTCCTGTGTACCTAGTCAATTTATGCTACTACTATTTTTTTTCTTTATGAAAATTAGCAGTTTAACTTAAAAAGTATAAAACAGAAACCACAAACATGGTCACATTTCTTACATTTCTTTGGCAGAGATCTGTTATATTAAAGATTGACTTACAAAATATCTATTTCAGTAATCATCTTCTCATAGATAACTATCTACCAGCGCTGATGCCAAACAAGGACATTTCAAAATGTCACAGGAACATTAAACAATATTTTTCAGCATTAGTGAGAGACTGATTTTTTAGAATGTGACCCACAAAAGAGTATCTTAGCAACGCTGGAGCCAACAGCACTTGATCAACAAAGTTGGTAGTAATTGCATTTTAGGTACACTTAACTGACTTGAACCAAAGTTATTCTATTTTTACATACAGTACAGGTAAAGAATTCTTAAAATTGTTTCTAAGCATGAAAGCCCAATGTTTAAATACTAATGTTTTTTTATGCTTACATTAGTAATAGTAACAAAATATTTTAAATATTAAATATATATTTTACATTTTACAGTTTTTTCACCCTGAAAATATTAAAAATTAACATTTTGTGAATACAAGTTCAGAAAAGGCAGTTCTTACAAGGCAGTTCTTCTTTTGACACTACTACAAAACACAACTTGGCTTTTTACTGGATATAAATATATGTAAAATGAAATTATACAAACCCAATTCCATTTAAAATGATAGATATACTGTACTACAGATATTGATCATTGGGCTTTACATAATAGATAAAAGTTTAAGAAAAAATTGAAAACAGGGACTTTGGCAGAAAAATACTAAGTTCCTCTGAATACGATCCTGACCTTTACATCCAGCTCAGATGGAGGCTTATGTGGGCAGTGTGTTACATGTTCGCCAAGCTCTGATAATTTTAGCACAATCTCACAACCTTAAAATGGAAAAAGACAAAACATTCTTATTTAAATGAAAACTATTAGTCATAAACACTATTTTAGGTAGACAACTTGCACTCTTCATTAACTTTGTCTACTTTAAAGGATTATTCTAATGGTCTAATCAAAATAACCTCCACTCATAATTTAGCCTGCAAAGTTCAGCTGCTGCCATGTTAACTATTAAGCCTTCACCTTTAACACGAAATAGGAAAAATAAGGAACATTTTAAATAAATATCCAGATATGTCTGCGACCTAAGGTTTATTAGCTTCTGCTGTTTGGTAATGGACTTGCTTCAATGAAGCAGTTCTTGCATATTATTTTTAAGCATCTTTGTCTCAGGAAAAACTACAGGAATGCCATTCCTCAATGTCCAATAATCTATTTAAGGTTAAAAAAACAAACTGAACACTGGCTAACATTACCTGGCAAAGTGATAGTTAATACATATTTTTAAAAAATCTAATTACATGGAAGATCCTACTCCGTTGGGCCCCTGAGCAAGGCCCTTAGCCCCAGCTGCTCCAGGGGTGCCGTATAAATGTCAGACCCTGCGCTCTGACCCCCAGCTTCTCTCCCTGTCTGTGTGTCTCATGGAGAGCAAGTTGGGGTATGCGAAAAGACAAATTCCTCATACAAGAAATTGTATATGGCCAATAAAGTGAGCTTATCCTATCTTATTCAGGTATCATTGAGTGTGAGTCTATATACCTCGATAAGCAAAGCAACACTTCACAGAGGCAGCTGACATCCTCCTGTCCACTTCGTACTCCGTCACCTTCCAGCTCTCTCCTAGAGGACTTTCATCTAGTGGGTCCACCTTTGACCGCCGGGTGAGGACATCGATGTATGGAGCTGAAAATGCGTGCTTTGGATCGCTGCAGAAAAGACAGCAAAAGGAAATAAAATAACAGCGCTACAGCGCTACAGCACGCTCTTTATTGAGCCCAACTCTACAGTATTTCTAAATTGTCTGGCTGCTTTTTAATATCTTTGTCATTCAGATTTATACTTGCATGGAGCATTTTCTACTTTCACAAAGGTACATACTACACGTGCAACATCATCAGGTTGATATGCCTTTTTGTTCTATGACTCAAGTATATAAATAACACATGTATGTTATGAAAACTACTTTAAGGTGATATGCACTGTAATGATTCCATCGCAAGTGTCAAGTGCATTAAAAAAGTCAACATCAATACAGCCGGTATTATATCTGTCAAAGTTATATCCTCTCACCTGCCACTAATTGAGACAGGTCTGTAAAATGCTGTTAAGGAGACAGGACACTCATATTCCATCTGGTCTTTCACAGTATTGAAAGTGATAACATACGGAATCTGTTCTCGAGTAATTAGAATTGTGTAAATCTAGAAGAGAAAGACAAGAAACCATATGGTTATTTAAGTTGTATATTTGGACATTATGCAATGTACATTACTGTATCATGTTGGGGTTTAAGTTGCATATTTGGACATTGTACACAACTGGCTAATTTGACATGCTTCAATTAGCAAGACTGGGATAACATATTCATTTTTACCTCTTGTTGTTTAAGAACTCTTAACCTTGTTACTATTTACAATGCATGTAAACAGTGTCGTTTTCCATGCATACTTTACTTCCCCCTGCTTTGAAAATGTTGCAGTGTGCTCTTACACAGGATCTGGTGCCATCTGCTGAAGAAACTTTGACTTCCAGCAGGCTGTCCCCCACTGTTAGCGGTACAGAGTCAGAGGGATCTGCTTCATTCACAGAAACCTTCATGTTGCTGTCTGGTACTTTGGGCTGGACAGTTAAAGCATTTAGGTTGAAAGGAACAGTACCTAAACGGGTAGATGAAATGGGTATTTAGTAACTCGAAACAGATATTCAAATAGAAATAAATACCTGTTAATACTGTAGCTATATTGTACTCACACGAGTATTCGAAGATGGTGGTAGCAAATGCTGGCTGGAGCTGTAAACCTTCAGGAAATTCGAGGCCACTCAGCTCTGCAGCGCTGGCAGACAGTTTCGTTACCTCAACAGTGTATATTTTAGCTGTTCCGTCCTCAGCGATAACTTCGATGTCAACTTTGTTCACTCCATCTTTCAGTTCAATCACCATGGACCCACTACCACACAGCTGACAAAAATCATGCAAATATGATCGCCGACAGTTCAGTCTATTGTTTTCCCACTGATTAATAATTAATTAATTGTTGATGCAATGCAGTTTCCTTACGAATTTCTGTAAAACCGATACTTATTGCTATTTAAAAATATGTAATACATTTATGTATTGTGTTTTTAAAGCAAAGCTCGACGTTGTGGGTGTAAGTGCATACTTCACATACGACAATATGTAATTTTACAGTACGTTGCATTCCACGGAAAACATCAATATCACTCAAAAATCATTGCACTTATTAGACTTACTATTTTGTATGATGCGCCACTGTCACTTGTTAGTAGATCCAACGTTATTTTGCTAATGTTGCTGGGAACAATCACTTTATAGCTTGTTAAAAGTGGTGAGAAAGTGGGGTGTAACATTCCCGCAGAAACTGTAAGTTTTTCCAAATCACAGTTATCCATTTTATTTCACTATGACAATCCATACACTAATGTAAAGGTTCTAGTCCTCTTTAACTTTGGTTTTGGATTTCTGTGACGCTGTAACCATAGGAACAGATATAGAATGCGAAATAATTTATTTTTATTGACGTTCGCGCATTGATATTTTATATATACATATCTATATACAACGTTTTCGGTTACATTAATCTTACCCAGTTTGGAGATTTATAGCTAGCCTAAATTAAAAATTATTCTGGCTGAGATCAATAGCAAACTACGATTCCAATAATGCATCAGTAATGACACAGTTCCGGAAATTTCACCCGGAAGTTTAATTATTGAGAAACGTGTAGCAGAGGAGGTGAAAAAAGAGGAGAGGTATGGTTAGTAATTTTAATTTTATAGTGTTTTGATGTCATCATTTAGTTTTACATAGCAAAAACTGTTCAGAACCGCGTAAAATATATTGACCATCGGTTAACAATATAATATCACACATTTCATTCCAACAAGAAAAAGTGCTTTTCTGTTTTATTATATCGTTGTCTTTTTGCTACAAATAAACATTCAATTTTAGTTACTATAGTATAAACTTAAGTCAACATCAGGTGTCCTCTTAAGTAAAGGTGTGTTAAGAAGCTAAATCCTTGGATACTTATTTTCTGGGATTCGTTTGTGTAACGATCCTAAAATAAGAAATAGGAATAAATAACAAAATTAGGAAATAATGAAAATAAAATTAAAGCACTAATTTTGTCATGTAAACTATTGTAGATTAGATTTTACTTAAACACCATTTCTAGAGACACCAAACGGCAAGAAGCTGTTTTATAGCAACGCATGGACCGTATGGAGCAGCATATTTTCTACTGAAAACATTTCTGGATTTCAGAATATGGCAGATGAAGATGTTGCAGCAGAGGACTACCCCACAGAGATTGAAGAGTACCTGACAGCCTTTGAGACCTCTGTGAGCTCAGTGAATAACATGATAAAGACAATGATGTCAATACCCAGGAGTGAGCTGCTTCAACAAGTAAGTTAAAAGTAAAAAAACATTTATTAAATATTATAGTTTTCTTACAATAATGTATTAGTCTGATTTGGTTTCTTATAAGTAATTTATAAACTTGGCTTCTGGGTTATAACAAAAAGAATGTAAAGTTAATCCAAATACAGGTAAAAAAATTCTATTAGTCCCACCATATCCAATCATGTAGGCAAATAAGCAGCATATCAAGTGCACTTGCTTTTATTTCTTGTTGTTTTATTCTTGGCTCAAATTCCCTTCTGCTGATACTTAATGTTCATTTTATTGTGCCATTCATTTTCATTTTCCTAATGGCTTCATGCTGTTTCTGTATAAGAAGACTAATGTGTTCTGTTTTTGTCGTAGCTGGACCCCCTTGAGCAAGCAAAACTGGATTTAGTTTCTGCCTATTCCCTGAATTCATTGTTTTGGAGTAAGTCATTTCTGTCTGCCTTTTTATAATGACTGCTGTTTCATTTACAGGTAGTGACCTCATCTCTTTTTCTGTTTCAGTATACTTGGTGACACAAGGAATAAACCCAAAAGAACATGCAGTTAAACAAGAATTGGTAAGTATTTTGTTACGTTTTTTATTTTTTGTTGTTTCATTGTAAATGACGGGAATTTATGGATTTTGATAGTGGTTCAAAGATTGGACTTCACTTGGAAAAATGTCAGTTTGTGTTCTTTTTTTAATATGTTTATTTTTCTCATTTGAGACGACTCATTTACTAATATAAACTAAAAGCTTTTTTGGCACACTGTGATGTGTTGAATAGGGAGATGTGACAGTTTTATGTGCTGTCCTGTGATGTGGTATAGCTTTTGGAAGTCATAGGATACATCTTGAAATGCAGTTGCTCTTGTAAATTCCCAAAGCCTTTGTGCTTCAATTACACAGTATCTGTTACAGAACAGGGCTTGAACTGTGTATGTACTGTATATATGGGTGAGTATCTTTGCCCAGCAATCTTCACAGAATACAGTATAGACTGGAAGGTTCTGTGTGTGGAACCAAAACAGTGGGCATCAAAGTGCAAGAACCTGAGATTTGATCTATTAAACACAAATAATGTACATTAATGTGTAATTTCTAGTAAGTTGGTATAACTTAAAATTACCTAAAGGGTAACTTTTCAGTGATATGCCAGACCTTTTCAAATCCCTTAGCATGACAAATTTGAGAAATGCTCTGCCTTTCTGTTTATATATTTAGCTGAGTTTTGCTTCTGGTGTGTATACATATTTTGTTGTTCATGGTTTACCAGGTAAAATAGCCAATAAGTGTTTATTGTTTTATACAATGAGCAGACTGTAGTGTCTCATGAACACAAATGTCAATTCTCTGGGAAACGTGAGTGTATGTTAAGCTGGGACATAGCCAAAAACTACCTAAAAAACGTTTGATTCACTTGTGACCTACTTTTCTTTAATTTGCAATGTCAGAACAATACTTATTCCTCCATATCACATAATTGAGTTAGGAACAAGATATTTAAACTCAGTTAATGCTGTAATGTTTAGATTCTACGATTATCTTGATCTGGGCTTGTAGAACAACATATTAATTTCAGTTTTTTTAATAATTCCCTGCCAACCGATTAAGACCAAATAACACAGTGTCACTGAACACAATATTCCGAGAAATAATTACTGAAGCATGACTTAATCATTAACGAAACTAAATGGAAGAGAAGATATGAAATATGTTTGGTAGTTTTTCTCAAAACTCCTTATATTTACTGTTTACATTTTGAGAGCTTAGTCTGTTCCCTACAGTTGTCTTTTGCAGAGTAAAAAAAACTACATTTGGAAAGTAGAATCAATATAGTCCCCTGAAATAAGCAGCAAAATAAATTCTTATTTTATTTTGTAATATTACAAAATTATATAATTATTTACTGTATCACTGTTGATTTAAGATTCCAAGGTTTTTTTTTCCTCTGAGCTCTGACTTGTGAATCAGTTGGAAAAGAACAAATTGTTCCCACATCAGCTTAATGTTACATTGATCAAATGATCGTACCAGAGGAAAAATGTGTGCCAGTTTACAATCTCCTGACCCGATCAGTCTAAAATTTTAAACGTTGGGGATTTTTACTGGCAGCAGCCATTTGAACCATCTTGAAAGGATCCACGTTGTACATAATTAGACTGTTAACTACTGGGTTTATTATGGTACAGTGTATGAAATACTAATGCTGTTACTGAATTATTGCTGTACTGTTACAGCCCTTAATTTAGATTTAGTGTATATATCAGAGAGCATTCACATGATGATCAATATACATTACAGCTACATACAACACATTATATGCAGAAGTTTTGCTGATTAGTAATGAAATGTTACTAGGGCTGGAAGCTGGGAGTGTTGCTTCTTGTCTCTTCAATGTCACATGTATTTCTTCTTCTCTCTATAACTTTAAAAATATTTCCAGATAATAGCCTTTTTGTCTCTCAGCTTTAAAATGTGATACATGATTAGCTTAATTTTTTTTACATACGTGCTTGATAATTTTCTTTCAGAATTCCTTTTGGGAACTAATGCAATTCAGGACAGTTTCCTGTTTATTAATCACATAATCATTATTTTGCCTGTGTATCATCTTCCACTACTGTGTGAGCCTTTGTTGTATTCACATACACTTGAGGTTCAAAGTTCGAAAAACATATTTCACTACTAAAAATAAGAAAGAAGTCTTCTTAATTGCTGTCCACAAACTACATTATGTCAAGAACAGCATAGCCTTTATAGTATCTGTACCTTAGATGAATTTGTCATTTACAAATATGTTAGAAAAAAACATGTTTAGTAGTAAAATTCATATTTTGGGCTGCTGTGTTTAAATATCATTTGAAAAAACTTATTTTGAGTTTTTACCTTTAAAACTTTTATGTCGGAAACTGGACTTAAAATAGCTTTAAAAATGTATATACCACAATTAAAATGTCTTTATCTGAATAAATATTTGTATTCAGATTGTAAATCTAAAGTTATCAGAAGTTTTGCCTGAGTTTTAATTGTGATTTCTTTAACCTTAATGGAAAAAACAGTATTTTTTATAACAAAATCTTCAAATGGTTTGTAGCCAGTAAGGTATTTCTTTTTTTCCATTGTGACAGAGAAAACAACACTCATTGTAATTATATTGTTAATCAAGTCTAGATCCTTCTCTTTTTTCCCAAAGCGTCATTTGCGGTTTTGATCACAAAAAGGCTCAGACAATGTGCTTCTTTCGTATCTGACTGTTTCAGAGACTTTGATAAAGAAAATGTGACAAACGAATTTAAAATTACCACAGACTTTTGTTTAATTGTGCAGGAGAGAATAAGAACGTACATGAACAAAGTCAAAGAAATCACTGACAGAAAGAAAGCATCTCGTCTGGACAAAGGAGCTGCGTCTCGGTTTGTGAGAAGTGCTCTGTGGGAGGGCAGCACAGAGGAATCCAAGGCCACACCTGAAGGCTCACATCAGTCAAAGCGCAGAAAGCAGAGCTGAAAACACAGCACAACAAAGGGGGGAGATAATGTGCCAAGGAAAACAGCAGATCTGCTCTCTCTAAGGTGTCTACAGACAAACAGGTTTTCTAAGAGACAATGCTTGGAGAGAGACAATTAACAATCGGTTATTTTTCTGTAGTTGTAATTAGAAGGCGACGCTAGAGAAATAATTGCATATTTTGTTTGCCATTTTTTTTTGTAATGGAGGAACCTGTTTTTCAGCACATTGGGTTGGAAAGGGCTTGTTTTTATAACTGGGTCTGTTAAAGTTACATGTATTTTATTTTCTAAACCTTTCTGCTTGAATCTTTTTAGATAATTCAGGAGTACAGAACATCATAACTTTATAACTTTTTATTGTCTTGTTGAAAGTTGAATTTGTTTTATTACACAAATACCACCCTTTCTGTGCATCAGATGTACATAATGTTGAAATTAATAGAATTTGAAAGGAAGATATTTTCATTTTTTGTGGTAAGCACATGACACTGTAACTGCTTTCGTTTTTGACAGGAATTATGTTAATTTTGAAGTATAGTTTTGTCCATGTTCAGGACCTGAACTGTTTCTAAGATGGCTCGTGTTTACTTTGTGTGTTGATTTGGCCATTTAAATCTCTTGAGGAGAACAGATGTGTGGAAAATATGTGGTGAAAGTATTTTAGACAAGACCTTGTTTTGTTGTTTTTTTTATTCTGCATAATCACCAGGATAAATGTAGTTCTTTGTGTCTCATGTCAAGAAGTTAAAGGTTTCCTTGCTGTATTACCCAATATTGCTGAGTAACACACTCGTCTACCTCTACAAATTATTTCCCATTATTGTAGGGCTGGATTTTACATTGTATTGCATTTCATCTTGGAAGTTTGTGAAGTACTTTTTTCCTCTGTAGGAAACTTCCTGTTAAACATAAAGTCTCACCTTTCAGATGCATTTTAAGCTTTTTTTTTTCCTTCCCAGGTATTGAACCGAAATCTATTCTATTTCCTCAGTATAGAGAATGTACGGTGCATAACATGCAAGTTTATAATCAATGACCTGTTTCCTGTTGCATGATATCCTGATTCATTTCCTTTATTCTTCCTAAGCTTTTAATGGTTTCGTACATTTAGCTTAACTGTATGTGTTCCACAGACAAATCCATTAGCCTGTGCTGATCAAATACAGAAAGACAAGTTAAAGTGCTTCACAGTTCTTTAATATTCAAGGTACGTTTTAAAGTCAATTTTATAGCGTTCCAAGCAAACTTGCGTTTTTTGAAACCGTTTATTATTCTCTCCTTTCTTAAAATCTGATAGTGTTTTCTAGTGAGTTGCTTTTTCAACACTTTCAACAGCTTGTTTTGCTTCATTGTTTTCGTTTCACGAGAGTTTCAAAACCTTTACCAGTCAAACGTGGCACAGATACTGTTTATTCTTGTCGTTTTTCTGTTTCCTGTATGCATATGGAAAAACTTGGATTTTTTTTCAGAGCCTCTAAGTCCTTGAAATTGAAGCCGTGTCACATTGAATGCTCAGTGCGGACAAATGAGGTCATGAACCAGGAATTTAGTATACAGTGCATACAATTCCCATCTTAATTTTATTTTATTTATTTTTTATTTGTTCACATCATTACTACAGGAGATGTCAGTGTAATAGATTGACACTACCAGTCCAAATACCCTGGAGGCTCAAATAAGGGCAAAAAAAGGCTTTTCTGTCAAAGCTCATTTACTTCTGATTTATCTTAGAATGTGAAATGTTTGGTTCAGAAATAAAACAATGATTTTCCTGAAACAACAAACGGAGGGAACAGTGTTAAGACTTGTTTGAGATGTTTTTTTTTGTAAGAGTGCAAGGAAAAGGAGCAAGGGCTTAATTAAATATTGCTTCAGAGTTTAATGGCTATTGCTGTGTTTGCTAGGGTGTAATTTAATGACATTATTTTACAATGTGGTGATTTTGCAAATCTGGTGGTGGTGTTTTTCTCTGTGTGCTGTTATTTCCTTGGAAGCTGCAGATTATGATTGTGCAAACATACCACCGATTATACTTATTAATTTTGTGGTATTAGAAGAACATCCAAAAGTATTCACCTTTCAGCATGGGTAGGTTGGTGTTTACACAAGATCAGAAATTATGGCATTGGTATTGGGTAAGGCACAGTAGAAGTGAAAGTAATGAGAAAATCACATGTTAAATTGCTTGTTACTCAAGCATTTAGCTTCTCTGATATTGCATTAATGGGGTGTAGTGCATTTCTGTGCTCCAAAAGGAAGCATGATTTGGTTAGATCGTAGACCTTAGAGCACCCTTCTGACATTAAAAGCAATGAGCTGGATGAAATTGGAACTCAGTGTCTGTCAATTTCAATTTCAATCTAATACTAAAGCAAACAAAAAAAAAACCCTCAAAGCATCACAAATGTAAAAAATGTGGGATAGTGATAGTACACCACAGGTTCAGATAAATTACCATCGTATTTATTAGAGAAATAAATCTGTGTGAACATGCAGAGTTTCTTAAATCATGGACAGATATCTTGGGTGATGCTGTCCACTGCTTTCTGTTAGTTTTCCAGTAAACATTTTCACGTACTGTACACTTTCAACATTTTTTAAGATAATAAAGGAAATGGTTAATTTCTTTGTAGTTCAGTTGGAAGATCGATGCACAGCTTCTTTCAGTTAACTATCAGATTTATTTTGTTAAAAGTACACCCACTCAGTTGACAGAAATCACCCATTAGGTAGGTAGGTCCCTTTTCAGGCCATAAAGGCCCATGGGGAATGGGGGGCAAGGGCCACCATTTTTCTCACCCATCCGACACTGGGAGTGGAGGTGATGTGGTCGGCATCACACTCCGGCCGGCCTATTACCCCCAGAAGGATTAACCCCCAATACTCATTTAGAAAACAGGCTGAGTGGACCTGGGAGCTGTCTGGAAGGAATTGGAGCAAGCTACATCGCTTGCCCATACCTGGGATTGAGCCTGGGATCTTCCAGTCAGGAGCTAGAGGCCCTTGCCCTAGCTCCTTGAAGTTACCCACTACTGTATTTAAAGCATGGTTTTCTGGAAAGACCCACATACTATGCAAGAGAGAACAAGACATGGTCCAGCTTCTCTGACACACCCACCTGACCAAAAATACAATACTGAAAGTAAAGAGCCTAACTCTTTCTTTTGTAGTGTTTTGACATTCTGTATAACTTGGGGTCTCCCAGTGACATCTGACTAGTGATATGACCCAGGATAGAAATACTGACATCTGGATTGTTTACTGGTTGAACTACTGGAGCGATAACAAGCTTTGATCTGTTGGTACTGAACATTTTGCTGCTCCTGTTTCCTGCTCAAGATGTGATGACCACAGACATGTTCCATAATGAGCAGGTGATTCAGCTTTCTACAGTGTTATCTGCTAAATTTAAGGCCATAAACAGTGACATAAGTAATGTATTGTACTGCTATTGTACAGTATCGGTCTGCTCAATATTTCACGTCTGTGTGGAAAGTGCCAAAGGCAGAACAGCTGCCGAAACATTGACTCATATAGCTGTATGCTCACTTTTTATAGAATTGCACTTACAATGAAACGCTAGCTAAAATCTGGGTTCTTTCTCACAAGCCAAGAAGAGCTGGACAAGTAATATATTGTTCATGACCACAGATTTTGAAACATCAAGCAGTTTGCAAGATAGAAGTAATGAGTTCATTAATAAAACTGGTGAAAAACTAGCACTGGTTGTAATACAAGTAAGATATAAGAATATTAACAAAGATATCTGGTTTCTGGGTTTAATCCTAACTGAGGACGCATGTTACTGTAATTTGGTTGAAAAATAGTCTTTATCAGCTCACCCCAAAATCTTCCTTCTCTTGAGGGGTTGCTGTTTGAGAAATCACTGTTGCACAAGGGAAGTCGAGGCTTGCCTGGTGGTGTATATTAAATTAAAAGGACTGGAGATTGTCTGCACCATTATTCAGCATTTGACTAGAGGTCTTATGTATTAGCTCGTCGTGTTTTTTTTTTAGAAAAAAAACATCCTCGAAACTAACCTCATGGTAATAAGGGGAAAAAACAAAACACTGGCACCAAAATGTTTTTTTTTCCCCATGGGTGCTTACCAGTGGAACAGACAACACCAATGTCATTCATGCAGTTCAAAAGAAGCATGTGCCAATGGAGTAGTAATTTAACCGCGACTGGAAATCTTTAAGATACTTAATCATGGTGCAGTCATGAGTTCCTGAGAGGCAATTTTCAATTAGCCTTGCAAGGCTAGAGCATAGAACATCAGTTATTACACAGTGTGTGGAGAACTGGTCTCCACCAGCAAGGCGCGACAGTAATAAAATATAATTGCAGAGAAGGGTAGAGCATTACGCCAATCATGACTGCTGACTTAACTCGGGACAAGAGACAAATCCTGTGACAACAGCCTGACATTACCTTACAGATGCAAGTCGTGGTTCCTTAGCCCTATATAGGGTTTCTAGGATTGGGTCTTAATGCCACATTGCCATGCGGATCTCAGGATTGTCTTTGTGCTTTTATTTTTGAGTTGCTGCCAAAAATCGTCAGTTTTCTATTAATATTACTTAGCATGAGGCTAATGGCAGACTAATAGCAGATCTCACTGAGGTCATTGTGTATAGCTTAAGAAATATCCTTCATCTACTACCCTCTTCTAATAATATCTTCCCTGACGACAGGCATGAACAAAAAGGAAAATTAACTACTGGGAGAGAACCTGGGCGATGTGGATTTTGAGCAGCAAGGCAGGATACACTGGTGTTCCTGCTGTTGGTGTGGCCTGTAGAATTTTACTCTTTTAAACCAACAGTAATTTGTTTTGCAATTAGAATTTTCTTAGAATTAGAATGAGTGTTTTTCTGTGCAGTTGGGCCCTAAAATATTGCTGCATTTTACAGGCTTGGGCTGTGAAAGATTATACATTGTCGAAACTGGCATTTCGTCAAATGTTGTGAATTATTACTTTCCAAATGGGGAAATCATCCAGCGCCAATCCTTCTTTTCTGTCTTTCATTTCAAGATTTTTCTTTAAAAATGATTGCCTTTGATCTTCTGCATGGGAAGCTTTCTATTTTTCTTAGTGGCTACCATCTGGCTTAAACTCAAGAATCCCCTATTTTTTTTCTAATGAGGCGCTTGTTAGGTCTCTAATATATAAAATTGTACCCAAGACTAAAATTGCAAGTAATTTTTAAAACTTAAAACTGCAAGTAATTAAAAAAAAATGTAATTCCTGAAAGATCCATTGTTGTGAATGTGGTTTTCAAAACCAGAGAGCAGAGCTTTACAGTACAAAAGAATTTGAATGTTTTATGTGCACGTGGGGGAGATAGGAAATCATGCAAACTATAGAAGTCAAGAACCTTGGAGTCCCTTTTAATCATCACCTATGACTTCATTGGCAATTCCAGTCTCTATAAATAAAGCTTGAGAGTGTGGAACCTTCAGGAGAATTCCTGATATGACTGATGGCATGGAGAGTGGCCTAGAGCTGTTTATATAAGCACTCAAAACATTCTTGTAAGTAATTTGTGCCACCTTCCATTCACCTTGTATCGTGCAGATGGATAGATTAATCAAGATAAGAGTTTTTATTTATGCACGCTGGCTTCACAGGCAAATTACATTTCAAAGTAAATCCGGTTGTGTGATGCGACTTGGCTATAGGTCTCGACTGCAAGTCTGGAACGGTCCAGTGAAATGTATTCCACGCAGTGGGTCTCAGATTATGGAATAGGAAAATATATATTAAATTAAGACCTGTTCAAAGCATGAAATGGTAGCTTCAGAGCAATGTTTTCTAAAGAACAAGCTGTGTGTTCTCTAAACATTTTTTGGCAATTCAGACTTTTTCTTCTGTATAATAGATTCATCTTAATATTCTGTTTCAACACTTACGTTACTCAATGTTAAGGCTGTGCACTCAATTAAGTGTTAGTGAATTTTCCTTTAATAATTAGACATCAAGACTGTGCCATTATTTGTAACTTGCTTATTATAAAAAAGGTGATTTCCAGTTTGAAATTTAAAGCTGGATTTTCCAAGTTGCAGTACAGGTTAATCGTATAATGAATTGATAGAAGTAGCCACCTTCATGGATTTCACAAAACCTCCAAAAGATGCCACTTTCAAAAAATAGATTACTGTAATACAAGTTTGTAATGGA